CCCTGCTGTCCGTCGGTGGAGTGGCACGGGCTCATGTGCAATGTTGAGTCGCGGAGATGGCGCGCTCACGCCGGGTGGTTTCACGATGGATACTGAGTGCGTATCACAGTGGCCAAATGAGTGACAGTAGGTATCAAATGTGAACTCTTACTGTCAATGGTGATCTATGAAGGTGATGCTAGATACGCAACCCAGCAATTGATAATATCATCTAATAGACGATGTGAAGTATATTGTTATTTTGATAGATTGATTCGCTAAGCTCGGCAGGTGAAGATATTGTAAAGTACATGAACAGCGTCTGTGTACCAGCATGTATTTTCCACCCTTTTCTATGCCGCAGCCTTTCCTCCATTCTCCTGTCTCCGAACAACCCAACCTAGCCAGCACAAAAACTGTCTCCAAGATTTGTGCGCCACAGTTTGATTCCTCCGTCGAGTGTAATATAGGCGTGGGCATGTATTTTGTGGCCAGCTTAGGCCGGATAAGAGTCGACGAGAGGTGTTGTCAAACTCGAGGGTGCCAAAAGTAGCGTCGGGATGGTTACTGAGTGACTTGGGTGATATCTGAGGATTTTGGCAAGATTCAAAGGTATGAATTGGTAACTCTAACTTTAACTAAGGACGAGGGGCGTGGGAAGGGGGAAACTAGGCCAGTGGAAGACGAAAGACAAGACGTGCCTCTCAACTGCGGCTCTGTCCAATCCATATGTACATCATAGTAACCAGAGCAACCTTGGCCTCATAGGATACACCTTCTACTACTTAAATACTCAATTCGCAACCTACGGCAACCATTGTAACCTAGTAACCGTTCTTAGGTGAGTAAATATTTGCAGACTGTGTCGGGAAAGAATACGGGAGTACCACTCTATCCTCAGTTGCTGACAGGTGTGGTCATTGGAATGAGGATGTACTTGGTCGTACTTGTAGACTTGATGAGACATAGGTTGGAGTCAAACTCTTTGGGAGTGAAAATTTGACGTGGTGAAGTAATTTGAATCGTTGCCTCGTGGGCCAACTTCTTGAGTGAGTGATGTTTACTGTACTACATGAGTCTATGACTATCTAGCACATTGGGCTCCTCCCTGACCTAGGCCACATCTTGTACAGTGCTCTTTGCCTCTCATGTTTCTTGAAAGATCATTGATATATTGCCCTTGATGAACAGCCATTCAGCTCAGTGTTTACCCGTGGAATTCGGCCACCTTCTCCACGGAACCTTCTACCCAAAAAAAAATCTAAATGGTAGCTATAGAAACTGCATGCGCGGGAAAAAGTCTCACAAAAACCTGAAGCCCCAGCCAGGCGAGGCCTAGATACTGGGACCACATGAGGTGCGCATATTCATCTATATCTCCCTTCTTCGTAACGGTCGAGGTCGACTTGATCCAATCCACCATCTCCGTATCGAGTGCTGGGTACGCCCCGGAAACTCATCGGATGGCTTTTCCTCCATGATCATAGGTTGGTGATGAGTAGGGCTCCGACCCTACCATCTGATCTGATCGTGATTAGCTTCATGATAATGGTGATAGGAGAATGTGTTGAGAGATGAAGACGATACAGACCGCGAAAGCGATTGGGAATCCTCGTCGAAGTGAGGACTTTGTTACTCAATCTCGGCTCTGCAGACTATACAGTGAGAGCTGAAGGTTCGTAGAGGACACCACTGACAAGTGTTGAGAATAGTCCCCTGCCAAATTCTTGAGTATTGCGAAATTTGACTGAACTTGGCTCTGGAATAATATTTCACTCCCAGGTTCGTAGAGGACACAGCGTAGAGCTGTTCATTCTTTGCCCTCCTGTCGTGTCCTTCGCTTAGTCGTAATAAATAAACTTTTCAATTATCTTGATTTTGCGCCTTAAGCCCCGTGCAGGCTTTTTTGGAAGATAAGTAGTATAAGTGGAATGACTCAATTTGAAGTTTGGAACATTAACACGCAGATTTCATTTGCAGATACTACTCGAGGTTAGCCCTTACGGAGTATAACCTCTTCTCTGCATACCCACCACAGGGTAAAGCACGAAGACCCCATGTCTATCCGAAAGTGCTTTTTTCACGGTACAAATAATATGTCACCGCGACAAAAAGTATAGTGTAAGTTCATCTGGACTCAGACAACTTTTTCCTGTCTCGAACAGAGTGTGTCAACCCTTTTTAGCTGGTTCGGAAGCTTTAATGGTTGAGACTGAAGGTATCTAGAAGAATAGCTCGCACAGGAGCTTTCAATTGAAGTAAAATAAAATATGAAAGTGTCTGTTTGTCTATCTTCTTTCTCTCAGTTCACACATCTACATGTACTACCATGTGAGATACACTGATCTTAACTAGAAACATCATCCCTGCATCACCAGACACAATCCAAACGTGTTGTAGAGAAAATACCATCGTAAAACGTCAGTACCAATCCACCACTTCTGACATTGGGACATGAAGAAGTTTTTAGCTAAAAACTACCTAAAACGCCAAGGTTTTCCTGAGGCAATCACAAATTATATCAGGTGCCAGCTTGGCATGTTATTGTGATAATAATGTTAAGAATTGAATTGAATACATTACGTATCAGGCTTATGCCCTACACCCAATAGGCGTGATACGGGTCTGTGCTCCCTGGGGCCACACTACAACCTAGGTACATAGTTTGCTTCTCAGAAACTATTTGTAGAAAACATAGATAATTAATTAAATTTCGAAAAAAAAAAACGCCCTGCGCCTTTTCTCCTTCCTCGTGGCCCTTAGTCCTGTGGAAAATTTCCTCCGGCAGGACTTAATCCTCCCGGTTTGCAATAATGTTAAGAAGATGATGGTATTTTTATCCTCACCGGGTACTACCCCAGCACCCAGAGGGCATGGCACGGGGGTAATGTTTCGATCAAGTTAGAAGAATGAAATTTACATGAATCACGAGACATGAAGTCAGAGGAGGACGAAGGCTGAACACCTGTCAGTGGTGTCCTCTACGAACCTGGGGGTTAAATATTCTCCAAAAGCCGAGATTCAGTCATGACTAAGGGTGAATTTGAGAGTTTTCGTCGAGTTGGCGATCGGGAGGAGTGGTATTGGCTCATTTTTGGTCGAAACCCCGACTTGCAGAGATTTCACGACTGCACAACTCAACGAAATCAACCATCTACATCCCATATACGAACCGCAGACAGGCTATAACCTGTCTGATAGTCGTATCACAACAACCGACACCTTCAAGGTCTTATTTTCTTTTTCTCTGGAAATTCATTCCCAGCCAAAATCATCTCTTGGCCCTCTCCAAAATCATCTCACCACCTACCAAAGCAATCCCATACCTCCAAAAGTCAAATTGCCAACAAAGAGGTAAGAGGATGTCCGAACCTCCGCAACTGCCAGTCGCTGTGAAGGTACGGTCGAAATACCGGCCTTAGATGCGTCCTTACCTCGGCTAATGGCACCAACAACTCAACCTGCGATGAACTGCCACCGACGAAATACGTACGACATTTCGCCAGCACACCAACTAGAGCATTCGACAAAGGCTGGAGCACCGGTGCCCCGGTCTTGAGCTCTCAGTCGCGTTTTTGACTTCCACGGTTAGGGGTACGGTAGTGACGGGGCAAGGCCGGAGGGGTGGACATTCTACGAATTTTCTGGGACGACCAGATTGGCTAAAAGATAGAGGGATGCTACATGAAGGAATAAAAGGGAACACAAACTGAGGAGGCCTTGGTGGACGACTGGATGAGGCCTCCAGTGAAGTAAACGACCCCTGGATGAGATGAGCGAAAGCTGAGGATGAATCGAAGGGAAAATTCACAGATCGCGGAGGTGTCAAGGGCTCGGGCGCGTGGTGGCCGAGGCTGAGGAGGAATTTGCGCTTCGGCGCGCCAAAAGGGGGTTCTCTGGACGGTTGGGCTTGACATGATTCAACACACGGGTGAAGTCTGAGGTGGTCCAGTCATTCAGGTGGGACGCGGTATATGTGCTTAATGGTAGTTAGACTGATCCAGCCCGACCCCACCCGTGCTTAAGCTCCAGTAGGAGTGCAACGGTAGTTACTTTACCTAGCACGTTAATGAACAAATTAAAACATTAAGTCAGTAATACAGATTCCATCGAGCTCTGATCCTGATCTGATAGGGTGGTTGTCTAACCTACATAGGACCTACTTGGAAGAAGGTCCCAGGTGTTATACCACTGCGCCATCCAACCTGCGTAAAGATAATACTTGGGTTATAAAGCGCCCTTATAATTAGTGGGTTTAATCAACAACTCTCCATTACAGTTATCAGACTCTTAAATTTCCAGATTCACTTCACAAAGTGATGTTAAACATAAACCTAACAGCTTAGGCTCTTTGTGACAGAAACCGAGTTGGTGATGAATAAATCGATTTAATAAACTATATGAGGAGAAAATCTAACTCTAGCTACTACTAACAGGTATTTATAAGAGTTAATCCTCCTCGTGAATCTACAGACTAGTGACTTGTGCTTAGGCACAATACTTCTTACCCAGCCATTTATTTCCAGGTGTCGCTAAGTTGTAATAACGCTTCAGCCTCCTGACTAGTAGTGCCGTTTCATTCAACTTCATCGTAAGAATGCTCAGTATTAGGCTTAGGTATCCACCTAAGCTCAAACAACGGTCAAGCCGTAACACTCTTCTACAAAACTCTCCATCAAAAAATGGCACTCGAGGTAAGCTAGGCTCGTCAGTTAAGGTCTTTTACTCTGGGGGGGTCCTTACAAGAACCCCGAAAATTGTATATTAGATCACAGCATTAATCTCTTGACCCCTTGAGTCTCCCATATTCTCAACTTCGTCCTCAAAATCTAGCAACCTTAACACAAACCTATGCTTAATAATTTCAAACTTTTGGTGCCTATTGTCTTGGAATCCCCTTATTAATTGAGCTCGTGCATCTCATTGGAATTGAAAATTAACTTGCTAGTGATAAGAGATCCATCACATTTGCTACATTAGGTTCCTAGCGAGACGTGTGACATTCCAAATAGTTTGGGGATTTAAGACCCTGTCTCGTAGGATGCTTCGGCCCAGTAGTGACACTGCCTTTCAGTCTTAGAGGGATCATCAATGTATCCTTCAAAGCCAGCATTGGAAACCAGCAAGACCGAGCCACTACTGTCATATTCTCTGAGAGTAGCAGCCTGAGCTCCCTCTTCCGCTAACATAGCAAACTGCAATAATTTTCTCCGGAATTTATTGGCCACGTGATCACCAATAGCATTTAAAGATGTGGGGTTGCCAAAAATTATATCCGCTAGCAATGGTCCTTGAATAGCGGGCGAAGTCTTGAAGTAGTAGCCGTACGAATTTTCAATCTTTTCCATAAGATAGTAGACGTTACAATCAACGAAGATTTCGCCCATCACTTCGGCAGCACCAGCGATGCTTTCATGTGAATTATCCACACTAATCGGACGATTGTATATTGTGTTGGTGATGTATATCAAATCACGCTCCGATAGTGTAGGAAACATGTTGGCCAAATGAGTCTGGAAGCCTTTGATGGTGCCACTCGTGTGTGATGTATAAAAGAGACCTTCGTTTATACCATGGCCAACAAGGATGCTGACCCCTTTGTTAAATTCTCCGCTGTCGAGACGGCGAAGGGGGAAGTCAGGTACATATGAATTGCTACTATAATCAATGGTAGGACCAAAAGTGTAAGAGCCAAGAGGCGAGGCATAGACTATAGCCGCATTGATGGTGTAAAGAGTCTTATACGAAAGTGCACGCAAATCACTTACGTTTTTGACTGGTTTTCCCGTAATAGTGCGAGCCATCTTCAAGACTGTATTTAGAGTAGCTATAGCTTGAGACTCAACCAACGGTTGAAAAGCTGGACTCTGAATTATCGCTGATCTGAAAGGATCTTGGGGAGAGTGATCAAATCGGTGCAGTACCTGGGGAAGAATCTTCTTAGAAAGGGTCGGAGCTGTGATATGATGTAGAATCGATGCAGCACCAGCCTCTTCTCCCATAACGGTGACGCGAAATCTGTCCCCACCAAACTTCTGGATGTTCTTTTGAATCCAGCTGAGAGCCATCCTTTGATCTATTAAGCCAGCATTTGACATGATGCTGGGGTCACCCGAAAGGAATCCAAAAATGCCAAGGCGGTAATTTATGAGTACCAGTATGGCGCCTTGACTATTGACTTTAACACTGTCGGCCAATAATGAATTCATGTCTTGGTGTGAACCTTTATCGCCCGAGGTAAACCCGCCGCCATGTATATACACAATGACGGGGGCGAACCCCTTCTCAGGATGAGCCTTAGTGGTATCCCATATCCTTTTAGGGACAATAACATCCAAAAATAGACAATCCTCAGTCTCATCTTCGGGTATTTGAATGGGTAGACTAAGGTTTTGCGAGCCGTTTCTAAAACTATAACCTTCTGTTGACTGATTCGCGATAAATGCCCTCAAAAAGGCTTCATTATCCAAAATCCAATCTGTGAATGTCAGCTTATTCAAAAAGCTTTGGCATCGCTTAAATTACTTGGTGTGGCCTGAGGACACTTTGAAAATCCTGGCCCTGATCCGATTGACATAGGACGCTCCTTGTGTTTGGAACGCTTGTTTTTAGAGGACCAAGTAGGAAGGGCCAAAGAAAACCTTCCATTCGGTGTACCATATCTTATTCCATTGAAACGATATGACTGAACAAATCCTCCATCAACCTGGCTTGATTAGTCCTAGCTATTGACTAATTTAATAAATGGCTTCAAACTTACATCAGGAATAGCTTGGTGAGTTAATCCATCACCAATATTCACAGTTGGAGGCCACTTTGCTCTGTAGGCTTTGTGAGACCTTCCTGCCTGACTAAAAACAGCGACAAAAGCTAGAGTTATGACCAAAAAGTTTGTTGTAAAGTGCATCGTAAATTAAATATGTGTAAGGGTATTCTCATGATTTGTTGTTATACGATATAAAAACTGGGTTGATCTACACATACAACGTGTATGTGTAACAGATAGGCTGCTAACGGATCGTATGATATAAGTTGATACAAATGTATGTGAGTAAATTTGCAATCAAAAGCTTTTGTGTAATGGCAGTGTACTACTAACTGCGCTGGGGGATTTTATATCCCATAGTTCTGTTGCCAAGCTAGTAATTCAGTTCTTTCTCATCAACGTTGAGCTCAACGTTATTGCATGTGTTCATGGTTATTAACGTCAAGCCTGGTGGGCTTCCGTCTCGATGAGAAGCGCCACTTCCGGTTACGGTCAGATGAGTAGTAAACTCACTACTGGCTCAGAGAGAAGGAGCTAAGAGGAAGTAAGGAAAGTAGAGGGTGCCTTCCTCAATTTTCAGAAGCCTGCAGCGCCCTGCTAGCCTAACACTCCTAACGCTTCAAAAAGGTAGTCGTGTCTCCAAATTTAGTGGGGGTGATCTCATATATTTAGAGCGGTAAGATTCATAATGGAGATATGTGGGCAAGCTCAACAAACGCCACATAGCAAGTATATGTTGCGTTTGGCCAGATTCACTTGAGCTCTGGCTCTAGTGTCCTTAGTTCCACAAGGTAATGCGTGGCACATGCTCTCGGGATCTTTTTTTAAATAATCATTTGATGAGCCTTCAGCTATCTAGCTATGACACATGATTAGTGCTAAATGTGCATATTGGATATCTCTAGACGTTGGAGACACTCAAACTCTGGATTTCATTTGCAAATACCACTATGAGGTATGTTCGCTTACACAAACAGTCGACCCTCCTCCGTAAGTACCCACCAAAGGTAATTTCAAAACCTTTGATTATCCATGCATCACTTCTTCATCTATGCATACCAGCGCCGCAAGAAATGTGGTTGTGTTTTGCCGGATTCGAACCGGCGATCCTCTGTTTCAAGTGGGATAGGTGTCCAAGCTAGCCATAATCTACTTGGGGGACTGGCCTAGATGATGTACCACTGCGCCATCCAGCCATAGATGTATTTATAGTGTCGCCCGCACCCTTACAAGCGGAGCCTTGGCGAGCATAAAGCTCGATTCGTAAAACTCTTTACCAAAATTCGAAATTTCACGCCCGTCGAGACTGTATCTATTCTCAGCATCAGTTTGTGAACTTGCCCTAATCCCTCTCACGTCCATCCCAAAGTAATGTCTCTTAGATTTGTGTGCCACGCATTGCTTCCTCCGTCGGGTATAAATATCGGCGTGGGCGTGTATTTGGCGACCAACTGAGGCCAGAGAAAGTGGACAAGAGGTGTGGTCATTGGAATGGGGATGTACTAGGTTGTACTTGTAGACTTGATGGAGCTTAGGTAGGATTCGATCTCTTTGGGAGTGAAAATTAGACATGGTTGAGTAATTTGAATCATTGCCTCGTGGGCCAACTTCTGTCGCATTGCAAAATTTGATTGAACTTGGCTCTGGGAGAATAGTTCACTCCCAGGTCCGTAGGGGACACCGCGTACAGGTGTTCAGTCTTGCCCTCCTCGCCCTACGTTTGCCTGACGGCAAGGCATTGTTGGAGGATTTTCTGTGCCATCTGGCTTGGATATGGGGCTTTCTCCAAACTTTTCGCACGTACATTTGAAGTCCCAGCATACGACGAACACAAGCGATGACACGGATCACCATGACCGAAAGGGCAGATGTGAGATGAAGCTCAGGCCACTGAGTATGAGGCCTAGTCAATACTCTTGCAAGGACATCCAGCCGTTAGGGAATACCCCAGCAACAGTCCCAGTGAAGATGGCGGATTCGCTTCACCCGCTCCCGGGTAATTTGTAATGTATGTGCGATGGACCGCGAAGCGAGAGTTCATGTCGGTCGACGCCTAAAGGGGTAGTATCCTGCAGGAAATGCCCGTGCCGATACCAATGCTTCAACTTGTACACAACACGACCTTGGGCCTGGGAGCAATCCACCGGTGATCTACCTTCAATCGATACTTTAGTGACGCTGGTAGATTACTTCTGTTTCCCCCTAATGGTCTAGACTCAGCTGGACATGTAAGTTACCACTGCCTACCCTACGAATTCCATTTAAGAGCCCGCTTCTAATCAGACATCATGCGATAGCCTTTTTCCAAAATGATATGAAATATCCTGCAGATCATTTCCGATCTTTCAAAATTCAGCCACCGTACGGAAGCAAATGATAGATACGTACTGAAAAAATTCGATCTACTTAATCGTGGAAATTTATCTAGATTGCATGGTGTCATATCATTTGCCGTTCCGGTCCAAAGGCCCAAATCCAACCGTTTAAACAGAAGAAAATATTATCCCGACGGAGATATTGAGTCGCCACTTGCATGAGGCTAGCCGTGGCGCGCACACCTGACAGCGTTTTAACTTTTTGCAAGTTTGTCGCTAATCTACATCTGAAAATACTGAGATCACCCGCAGCCATGGCTACACAACCCAGGCAAAAGTATACTCTGCAGAGATACGCACGATATTGGGAGTTTTCCTATCGGCGACCCATTCCTGGTCCATGATGATACTAGCTCGGATTCTAATATGACTCATGAACTGCCCTGTAGCTAAAATAAGCCTGAGGAAACGCTCGACAACCAGCTACTGTTGCTTTTTAGGCAAATTAAAGCTCATTCGTAGAGTCGTTTGCCGTAGGCCCTAGACATCCTGGTGTCTTGTGAAGTGGTCCTGTTCAAAAAATTGGCTGTGGAACGGACGCAGAGGTTACATCCGCTTCGGTTGTCTCTTGCTTTCAATTCGTTGGAGTGCGTGACTCGCTAAAATTCGAAAACTAGTAGCGAATCAAAACGCTAACTAGCTGTCAAAATCTTTCGAATCGGTTAGCTCCTACATGATCGTCCGAATTAATTCTGAAACGAGAAACACTCTGTCAGCAAATTGGAGCTCTAGTTAACCCTACCAATACTTCAAGTAACTCACTTACATCTATTACACAACTGCAGAGGTTAAGAGCATAAACGCGAAAAACTTTGGCCTGTGTAGCGCAGTGAAAATTCTTATTGGTGCTTTTTTGCGAGTGAACCCCAGAGCGCAAGCGGCTTCGCGTCAGTAGATTCATTCAAGGTTAACACCATGCACTATTCATGTGAACGACCATTCGGCCGAATTTCTAGTCATTTTTAAAAAAAAGAAGTACTCTAAATAGGCCAAAGAATGCACCAGACTACTTCTAATTCTGTGCAAAACTAGAAGGCTTCAACGTTCACCTGTATCATCTCTACGGAATAATCTATTCAAAATCATGCTTCATCGCAAGAGGCAATTTACTCTCAGTAATTTTTCCATATCTTCAGCCTATTCAGATGCAAGTTATCGGCTGATCGAAGGCGTCTCTGGCTGAGAAATCATGTGTTTGCTGCTCATTTCATATCTGGGATCCATTTTCGGGGTTCCAGGGTCCAGCTGTTCGGGATCAGCAAAGGCATATGACATTAATGCCTCGTTTTTTTGGCACAACTTTTGGTAATCTTTATCAGGTCCGGGGGGGGAGGCCGCCTTGTTGTTGCCCGTTCAGTAGTGATCCTTGATTTCTCTTCACAAATCTTCGCCGCCCTGAAGCCGCAAAGGCATTTGAAAGCTGCAAACTAACGTCGTAGTGCTCCATGGTGATAATTAATTAAAACTTTCGATCTCACAAAATCAATCGCTTCTCGGGTCCTAACAGGCACGACGCGATATTAGCCAACTTCCCTCCAGATTATCTCTTACCATTGGGGGATAGCAATTATGACCGGTAATTTTCGTGGCCTACATCCACCGCCATCACTTACTACGCATGCCAGGACTCGTGTGACTTTGTTCACCAAAATTCCCTCGCGAGCAAATCTTGCATGACTGGTCTGTGTCGGCATAAGATCCCGGCAGCTTTTGATTATGGCCGTCGCATATCACGAGAGGCTTGGCGCGTAGACGTGTATCGTCATCCCGTGCTGCACGTCGATGGGATGCCAGAACTTACCGGGATCAAGGATATCAGTAATCTTGGGTGGTGGACGAGGACGAGCGCTTCGTCCATCCCCGTTTTTGGTGGCTTGGAACGGTGACGCAGGACTGTGGCTGTATACGAATGTCATCACTGGATTCCTTGACACCACCCGGATGGAAGATAAACATCTTTTCCCTACTTCATCCCTAAATCTCCGAGTTGTGTATAGACATGAAATCTATTCTGAAGTCTAGCTACTCATGCTACACTAAATACAATCTTTCAGACGTCGTCTCAAAGATTGTAGTGGCTATCAAAGACACTCGGACCCTGCCCTGGATGCTTGGTTTTGACACTGAATGGCGCATGGCAATCTCGCTCTGGATGATTTCAAGCATGTCACGAGCCGGCGAAATCCTGGCGTACAAGGTGCTCACCGTCCTCGAAGATGCCAAGTGATCTAAGGAAGAGTCAGGAGTTCTTCAGTCACCGATGCTGTCCCAATTAGAGTTCACAATCGTTAATCACCTACATGGACTGCATTTTCCCTATTAAAATGGGCGAGGCAATTGGCACTGTTCGGGCCCTGCAAGACTCAAGGCGGGTGGGGAAAGCCTAGATCAGGATGACCGCCTTGAAGTAAATTAGCTCCGTAACTAATAAATGCTTGTCCGACTGCGAATCCTATCACATGGCCAGTCCAGCAGCCCAGAACTGCTGAATCAAAGGAAAATCACATGTCATCATGTCGACTTGATCCACCTATTCGGTTATCATAGCTATAAAGCTGAACACAACATGAAAAGATTATAGGTCTGCATACTTCCACAACCAGCCACGTAAAATCAAGACTAGCCTTGCAACTCCCAACCAAGAGCAATCTAATGGATTTGAAGGGGCCCTAGAGTCCCGAGCAGTGCGATGGACTAGAAATAAATCATTTAATTATTCTGATTTGACGCCTCGGAGCCAATGCAGGTTTTTCCAGAAGATATGTGTTTTATGTAGAATGATTTGATTTGAAGTTTGGAACATTAACACTCAGACTTCATTTAAAGATATTACTCGAGGTTAACCCTTATGGAGTATAAGCTCTTCCCTGCGTACCCACCACTGGGAAAAGTGCGGAAACCCCATGTCTGTCCGAGAGTGCTTTCGTCAACGCACAAATACGATATCATCGCGAGAGAGAGTGGTGTGTTGATCTTACTGGATTCGAACCAGCCTTCTCCTGTCTCAAAAGGGGTAGGTATTCAAGCTTCCCAGAATCTATTTGGGAGAGCGGCCCGGATGTTGTACCACTGCACCACCCAACTACGATTGATTAAAAAGTCGAGATGTGATCAGCTTCATACTTGGCTCATATTTCCTTGACCTACCCTTGACCAGGGTGTCAAGAATACCCTTAAATTTTTTGGTCAAAGCTTTTCCTTCGATAGCCTGCAAGGCTGACTCACTGGCGTCCGCACTAGAGTGTAACTCCTGGAAATTTCTCTAATCATGTCAGCCTTCGAGATCTCATTCGTCCTATTCTGCTACACCAAAGCGGCTATGGAGCCCAGGAAAATCGAAGCAGCCTCAAGTTTTCTAGCCGAAATCTTGCGCACAAGAGGATGCTAGCTCGAGCCAAAAACATAATTTTAAAATCGACAATTTTTAAGTTCCTGTAGACGATGAAAACAATAATTATAAAACTTATGATTCACTCGGTGTTCTATTAACTTAATCTTAGGCTCTACTTTGAGCTCCTCAATCTAGAACGATACATCACAGTGGAGCTTGATGAAGCACTAAAATGCTGACTGATAATATAATTACTGATCTAATCTACTCCGAAGTCTGATTTGGGCACTTATTTTAGCGGGCTAACGAGGGGGCCGTAGATATCTTTCATCGAGCAAGAATATCACGCTAGCTTAGAGATACACGCCTTGCTTGATCAAAGAATCAGTCTGTGCAACTTAATGATGAGGCAGTACTAAATCTCCGACGTCATTATTTGCTATAGGAAATTCAGTAACCAAGAAATGAGATGCCAGTTGATGCACGCCTATTTGCCGAGTTATCGGGAGGATTAACCTTTTTACTCAACTTGCGCTCTCATAATAATATAAATTTTTAAAAACAACGCACGTGATAGTGAGATTTAGTACGAGGCTCAACCTGTGATCAAGGTCGAAACTTTTTAACCTACATCACGGCAACAAAAAGGTACTGCCGAAATCCAGCAACGATATTTTTGAGTAGGTTCAAGATATACAATGGACCAACTAGACTGGGACTATTGAGAACAGTATGTAAATAGCCAAGAGTTTTGAAATACTTTTCGGGAAACCAGTCTAATGTCAATTTTGAAGTTTGTCATAGTCACTGATCTAGCTTCTAATTTTTCATTATCGTCCTATTGGGTCTATGACCATATGACGAAACATGGGCTCTTTTTTTTTTGCATCTTGGGTTCATTCTGTCTACAGGTAGGGAGTATATATAATTCGGGTATTGTAAATCCCCCATGCCTTCTATAGAGTGCTGGCAATGTGAACACTGCCATGGCCTAAATTATGCGGTATCTTATAGAATCACCGCTTCTACGAGGGGGACTATTCTCAACACTTGTCAGTGGTGTCCTCTACGAACCTTCAGCTCTCACTGTATAGTCTGCAGAGCCGAGATTGAGTAACAAAGTCCTCACTTCGACGAGGATTCCCAATCGCTTTCGCGGTCTGTATCGTCTTCATCTCTCAACACATTCTCCTATCACCATTATCATGAAGCTAATCACGATCAGATCAGATGGTAGGGTCGGAGCCCTACTCATCACCAACCTATGATCATGGAGGAAAAGCCATCCGATGAGTTTCCGGGGCGTACCCAGCACTCGATACGGAGATGGTGGATTGGATCAAGTCGACCTCGACCGTTACGAAGAAGGGAGATATAGATGAATATGCGCACCTCATGTGGTCCCGGTATCTAGGCCTCGCCTGGCTGGGGCTGCAGGTTTTTGTGAGACTTTTTCCCGCGCATGCAGTTTCTATAGCTACCATTTAGATTTTTTTTTGGGTAGAAGGTTCCGTGGAGAAGGTGGCCGAATTCCACGGGTAAACACTGAGCTGAATGGCTATTCATCAAGGGCAATATATCAATGATCTTTCAAGAAACATGAGAGGCAAAGAGCGCTGTACAAGATGTGGCCTAGGTCAGGGAGGAGCCCAATGTGCTAGATAGTCATAGACACAAGTAGTTTAATAAAACACACTCGCACACTCGAACCGCTTGTACGAGGAGGCTAGTTACTTAGTTCGGACTGAGCTTCAAATTACTTACAATAGACATATGCTAGGAGTGTTGGTAAGCACTTTTGAGGTGCGAGCTGGTTAGGTTGAATTAAAAATTTCAAATGTCCTTATTTGGCGCCCTGTGAGCCCATGTAGGCATCTTTGGCTAAGTATTTGCGTCGAATGTCATATGATGACGTCTGCAACATCCTCACTTGGAAGCCATTCGCAGATGCCAATCGAAGTCGGCTCTTGCGGCATGCAACTTCTGGCGTCATCGCCCCGTGATGTCCAAAGTATGCTTTCGTCACTCTAGAAATACGATGTCACCGTGAGAGCATGTTGTGCGTTGGCCTTGCTTGATTCGAACCAGCTTTCTCCTGATTCATGTGGAATTCACGTCCTCGTTGCCCAGAGTCAGATTGGGGTAATTTCCCGGTAGGTTCACCACTGCACCATCCAGCCTAATTGATTGAGCTAACCAACAGATTCGTCACCCTCTGTAATGAATTTTCGCTCTACCAATATATCATTCCTACTGCACTATTGCGTCATCTGCGGAGCAATGGAACGTGCATGGAGTGGGATAAGGAGACACCCTCCTCACCCATTCTAATATTACTATTCCGATCGAAACCCATTTCAGAATAGAAAAATGAAATTGTCACTTCCACTAACATCGACTGCATAAATTTTAATGATTTGGTAGAAAATACAATTCCCTAGAGTGATGAGGTCATTAGAATTTTTACAAACTTGTTCTCATGAGTGGGTGCCCATAAAAGTTCCGGTTAGTCACCATAAAAAAATATGCTAGATATTGATAGACTCAAGTAGTACAGTAAATACATCAAATTACCATCAAAATTCTTTTGAATTTGGGTCGCACCTACTTGGTGCGGTTAATGCGAAAAAATATAAGGTTAGGAGTGAGTTTCGCCAATTTTAAAACTGTTGAATCAGGAAGAAATTATCGTCATATTTCTATAGTTTCTACTGTTACTGATAGTTGGCTTCATCAGTTGATTCAATCGTCACCAGTTGATAACTCACATTAATAATAAAGCGGTGAGCGCAATCATCAGAAGCAGTTCAGAAGTTTAGTGGGTCACTAGCTATATACAGTGTTACCTGAAGTATTTGGACATAACTGCGAAGTCGTTACAGACAATTTTGTTGAAGTCATTAAAATGATCTCGTCTGAGAGTAGTTAAATATAGTAGTAGAAAAGGGGACAAGCCAATACTTAATGAAGAAATGATATTCTCTCACGCGCGTGGAATAGTTTCTAGTAAGAGTATAGGTAGCCATAATTGACTTTAATTATTCGATCAAACTTAGCACACATTTGGTAATTTTTGATTGGTTAAAAAAATATCTTGTAACTCGTATAAAGATGGCTTGAATCTTGCTACATAATTTTCAAATGTTAGCTTTATTCTATGCGGTGTGAAAACCAGACTTGATATCATTTGAACTAGGTACCTTTCTTGAAAATAAGCCTTGACCATCATTTCTCTAAAGCTCAAGTTATTCAAGAGGGCCTGAAGTATATGTTCTGCTGAAGAGGGATAAATTACAATGTTGCATCTCAAAGGCCCAGGGTAAAAGTAGAGATGTCAGTAAAAAATTTCAAGGTTGACGAACGTGTGTCTGAGAGTGAACTTGATCCAAAAGGCCAGTACGGTGTATGTACCAAATATATTCATAAATTGATGACCTTGGGTTTGAACTTTTCATGCAATAATGTTACCATATTTTCCCTATATATGGGCCTCTTGAATCATGCTCTTTCCCTCAATTCAAGTCACATCAGCATCATCGCTCGTGGACAGCATGAAACTACAAAAATAAAATCGCTAGCCCCATTGTATAGTCCCCGTCTACCCCATTTTCTTAGTCATCATCATCATCGATCAAAAACATAAAGATTGAGTCATTTACTGCTCCATTTTGAAAGACCTACGCCATTCAAGAGTATGAGGCCTACGGAGTAAAGGAACATAGATTTCCCACCGCAAACAATGAAATAAAGACTTTTTGTAATGGAAGTTGTGACGAGCAATAATGATATCATCGTACAATTATATCTGAACGCGAGAGCGACTGACATGCATTTTACCAAGTTCAAGTCTCGGTTCTCACTTGACAACCGAAATTTAAATTGTGTATTATTTGGACATCATCGGGCTTTGCCAAATAGCTTCGGTATTAAAGTGTGTGGTAGCCGTCAAGAATACCAGATTGATAAGCCCAAGTCCTAAATCAGGGTTGGAGGCCTCTACAGACCAATTTTCCGAGACATATTGTGATGAGCTTGCCCTCAATTCGCGTTAGGATGAGAGACTTTTGCTGGTCTTGGCCTAAAATAAGGTGCAGGTGAGAACCATAATCAGCAAATATAGCCGCCAGACTGCCGTCTCTGAACTGAGACTTGAGCCCTTGCAGTGAAGTGATTTGCCTGAGTCTCTAGGCTGACCGACATCAGGTGTGCGGCTGAGTGAAGGATCAGCTACTTATCCGTGACAAATCAATAAAATAAGGGATAAACCTACTGGACCAGATACTGGACTTCTCCAGCATGTAAGCTATCACTTTCAAAAGCTGGCTACCCCATCCGCCATCGTCCGTATTCAACAGTCTCAGTTGTGGATCTGCTTGAGCCATAGATCCCATACCAGAAAGATCTATATTCAGGAAACTCTCAACGCCGTTCAAAAATTTTTGTACTTTTGCAAGTAGGTTGATGTCTTCCTCTTCCAATAGCATAGCAGTCTGAACCTTATTCAAATCGATTTCATCTTTTCCTAGTATGCCGAGGTAGATTCCTACTCTATCCTGCACAGACGCTATCCATTCTGCGAGTACTTGTGCTGAATCGAATACACAAAGGGCTGAGTACAACGGGAGATCTCGACCGGAAAATTCTGCAAACTTGACGCCAAATTTTTCTGAATTAGGAAGAGAATTCACCGCTATAAATGCAACCTTTCGTAGGTGGCGTTCATGAGAACTATAATGGCCCGGCTGTGGCACACGAACCCTACTTAGTGATGCTCGGTTAGTTGTACGTGGTGGTAGGGATATTGAGGACGAGGTAACGAAGTTTGGGGTATGGCGTGAAAGATCCAAGGGTTCAGAGGTTAGGTCGTTTGTTACAGGTACATTTCCAAGGTCATGATGAATACCTGTAGAAAGCGACAATTGTTCGACCACTCCATCCCAATCCCTTTGCCAAAATTTTTCTTTAATCCGCGAGAAGTTCACATTGAGTCTTATGTAAGCAAGGTTGAGGAGGGGAATACTGTCGGCAGCGAGAGGACCAATACCGTGTGGACTTGATCGCTCATGACTATTCTGGGCATTGCTGTCCCAGACTATTTCCCAGGCCTTGAGAGCAGGCTCGAGGTTTCGACATAACTTTTCGGTCTGTTCCGATGTCCAGACAGTATTTTGGTGATACTCCTGGCTTATTTCCCAAATAAAATTATGTACTGCGTTGATCAAAATAAGGCAGCCAAAAGCGCTAAGCTTTAGATCACTCGCATGTGTGTCGGGTTGGATGTTGTTTCTGAACAATGAGTTCCAGCGAAATTCTTGGCGCTGTTCGTGGCTATCTTCGCTTGCTTGGATTAGATCTCCGAGTGACTCATGGAACGTAAGTTGGTGGTGCTCTGCCATTGCAGCCCCACCTTTCGAGTAGAAACTTCGCGCAGTGTCAGCAGTCCAAAACTCTTCGTCACAGGGTAGATCAAGAGTCATTTCTGAATTCATAAGTATGGGGGTGTGATTGTAGAACATAACCAGCAAGCTTGACATATGATAGATAAAATAAATCGTTCGCTTGCGCTCTTCCATGCATTTCCATTCATACCAATCTTGGTGTTCCTCAGATGTCTCGCTTTTTATATTAGGGTATCCCCAATCATCAGAGAATGCACAATCGTCTAACTGTAGTTCTGGTCCACGTGAGCGACACCGCTCATACGGTCGGAGAAGGTCGGCAACGCAGGATAGGTTAACAATTACGCCAGGTGAAATTGTTGTTCCGTCAGAGGTCTGTTCACCACAATGATGGCAATATAATAAGTTCAAGAGCATCGCTTGTACCAAGCTGATCGGTGGATAGACTGCACTTTGTGAAGTAGTATCCATACCTGATTTCTCACTGTCCGTTGCCGGTGAATTTAACTTAGTTCTATCTTCCATGCAGATCTGTATCATTTTTTGGGTAGATTCGAAGAGGTCGTGAGCTATTATGCGCTCCATTTCGTATAGTGCACCAATAGCCGCCATAGCAAGAAGAAGGCAACAGCGAGCGCTAGAGACAGTGGCAGTGCGATTATTTCCGGTGCTAGATTGACTGTGTAGATCAAAAGAAAGGGTTGGTATATGTAGAAACGGCATATGAGGGTTAAAGAAACGAATATAAGCGGCAACGTATCTTTGGAAATCCTGTGTACTGGGAATGGAACTATGAAGTTCGTTACCTTTAGAATCTCGACTCCCAAATGATATCGTTGACGGAAGACTCCCGGGGCCGAAATCAAATCCCGAAACACATTTAGAATTTGACTGGAGGTTATCAATCAATGTTTGTCGGCTCATGTCAGTGATTGATACTATGGGTAATATTGATGGAAGATTACAAGTCACTGATACAGGTGTTTCAGGACCAAAGCTGATTTGGTGATGATTTGAAATTCCAGACATCAAAGAGGGGCTCAAAGCTGTGTGAGACGGGTGTGGTAGTGGTGGGGTGGAGAAATAAGGTTCATTTCCATTCTTTCGAGAAATACTGTGTGGGGACAAAGGACCCTGACTCATTAAATCATGGAACCCAGCATTTCCCATTTCAAGGGAAAACTGAGATGGTGTCATCATCTGAGGTGCCAGCATAGAATGCGGCCACATAGATGCTGAGGATGCAGCTGGGTTGTTTGAACCATCCAGCATGATCTCACTAATTCCGCTCTGGCTTGCAGTGCTGATGGCTGAAGGTGATGACCCATCAAGAGCATGATCTTGGAGGTCCTGGAATGAGAGCTGGTGATCGAACCCGTTGAGCCAATCAAGATTTTCATCGAATTGCTGACTGTGAATATCTCCTGTTAAACTCTGATGGTATAGGGTATTTGCATCCAAAGCTACTGAGTGAGGTGAATCATTATAGTGGAGAGCATTTGGGTTAATTGTTGAGTTGGGCCCGTAAATAAGTCCTTCATAGTCGAATTCAGGGTTGAAACCACCTAACAATGGTGCTGTCCGTAGTCCACTGGAGTATCCTAGAGAAGGGGAGTTTTGTATCTCAAGTTTGGGCAGCCCAAGGTTCATCGCTCTTTGCCCAATTTCCGAAGAGATGGAGTTGTAAGGATTATAATTGTTTGATAAGGGAAGCTCAGCAACACTAGAATGCCTGTTGTGTGAGTGCATCAGTCTCGATTGTACAGAAGCTGCTGCCGTTGCAGCATTCGCAGAAGATGTTGTAGAAGTTTGAGTCCCCTCGATATGACTGATGGTATTAGCTCTTGGCCTCATGACTGCATTTCCACTATTTGCTAAGGAATTTTTGCGCACTCGGCCAGGAACTCCAGCTGATGTACTTGTCGCACTCTCTCGACGGTTACGGGGGCGAGCTAACGGTGTTGTAGTCATGTGAAGCTTCTGCTGATGCCGAAGGAGTAGGTCGCGTCGGGCAAAGCATCTTGCACATTCCGGACATTCGAATGGCTTTTCTTTTGTATGGGAACGCTCATGACGCTTCAGGTGTTCTAATCGAGCAAAACATCTTTGACAGGTTCCACATACGTGAGGTCTCGGTTTATCGGTCTTTGGCAAGGGAAAGTTGTGATTGATGAGGGGATTTTGAAGTTTGGAGCTCGCCGTTTCGACAACTAGGAAGAAATCAGTGGCTGCTTACCATTGAGTTGACCTGACAGGGTGGAGAGAAGAACTAGAGGAAGCTCGTACCGTCTTTTTCGCCTGTCATCACCCCGCCATTAGGTCTAGCACCGTTTGATGATGGTAACGCAAGCATCTGATCAGTTGCCAGCTCGTTTAATGTCGAGCGATTGAGTCGTGGAGGCGGATAGTGTTAGATTTTACATGCTCGACTTGATCGAATAAGCTAATGAGCGACGAGTCAATGAGATTTTCGGATTGTGGAGTGTCGAAGGTGAGTGTGAGTGCGTATTGTGTGAATAGGTGAGGGAGTGGACAGTGATAGTGTGTGGCTAAGTGAGCGCGTGAGAAGTTTGGTAAAGATGTGATGGTTAGAATATGATGCGCTTAGATCGGTAAATAGATGCGTCAAGTACAGAAGATAATCTGGGATTGAAGAGGGACGGTAATAGAGGAAAATGTATAATGCGGATTTTCAGTGCCGTCAGAAAGGGTACGGACAACTCGACTTTTCTTGAATTGGAGCCTTCCAATGACTGATGTCCAGGTGGGTCCGTCTTTTGCTGCGAGTTGCAGAATTGCAAGCACAACAGAGAGAAGCTGTCCAGCAGGCCGCTAACTCCTCCCACAGCTAGCAGTAGAGCGATGACCTTTTTCCCAATACCAACGCGAGATTTTTGAGAGGGTTTTTGAAGGGCCAGGAAGCAGGTATGCAACTTGACTCATCCACTCATAATTGACGAGCATGTATCCTGAATGAAGCAGTGGTGTTAGGCTGCTGAGGTTGGTAGGGTTTTCAGGTTGCAAAGTACCTGTCACTACAATTCAAGATGGATCGGCTCTATGGGACACGAGGAATGATTCAAATTTCTTTTAGCCCGAATAACGCTCACAATTTAGCTTGGCTTCTGAATTACGATGCTGAAAAAAGGCGTGGGGCCACTGTGCAAAGATTATGCATACATGTAAACTCTTGAACTAATAATAAACCGCCAGCAGTTTTGTCTGGCGAGAGGACCACGTGCTCCGCTAGGTTCAATTTGTTATCCTCCTTTTCATGTGCATCCAGGTTTCTGTTTCCTCATTCTACCATTGTTCACCTATTATTAGCTTCAGAGCCGACAGGTCATCGCCGAAACTTTCTTCAACCCGACCCCGCCACCGACTGCAGCTGCTAAACTCGTTTGTTTCAGACATTTTTCAGCATGTCAGCGGAAATCAAATTTCAACCAATGTCTCTCCCGATCCCGACTCCGCGCCAAACAGGGATTGGAGCAACTCACAATTGGCTTGAACCCAAGGACCAGCCGGAGGCGTTGGTCGTCAGGCAATTTCTGCTCCATGCACACCCTGCAAAACTTCTGCACTAACCTCGAACGTCTTAACAGGGAACCAGCAGCCAATCAATGACCCCGTCGTCCCGCTCAGCGCCGAATGCAGTGCTCTGCATCAAATATGACAGTTTATGTCAGGGGATCCCCACCAACAACATGCCACACACCGTGGTTAAGCGAAGGCTGCTTACTACATAACTTTATTAAAACCATTGTGCGAAATCAGTCGTCACTCATGGGTAGCTGCGAGGGATATTTCACATTTATGCCGGAAAATATAAATTCATCTGAGCATGTGCCGTGCTGGGCACAGCGAGCCCTAACAGCCTTCGACATGATAGATGTCAGAGGCTTTGCTATTTATCTTTTCTCACATCACATTGACTCGTACCGGAACTTATCAATCAGTTCGGCTTGAATATGGTATCGCCGACCACCTCATCAAGGAATGCTCGGAAGGGTGATGGCTGACGTGATGATTCATTTTGCATGGCTCGGGAGGTAACGTAGAGCATTACGCCGAAATAGGCCACACTTAGCCATTAGCAAGACTTACAATTTGCAGCTGCCATACTGTGAATCGCATTCATAGTTCCATTTTGCCATCACGCACCGGTCAGTTTAACGGTTCCCATTCCAAGCTCTTCTACGGTTAAGCTAGGGAAGAAAGATTGATCAACCATGGCTATGCAATCTTTGAACTCAAAAGACAGCCAATCATGTCGATGACGGTGAAATGCAGATCAAAAGGCCAGCCTTGATACCACAGGGCGTAGCTTTGTTCGACGAGTCCATGATAGCGCATAATTTAGATGTGATAGGACTTCTTTAGGGCCGGGAGTGCATCATTCGCTCCTGTATGCGACTACAAAGAGCTACAGCTGGCTAAATTGGGACTAAATCAGTTATCACGGTCGAGGCCCAATTTTACGGCAATTGACGGTATATACAGAGTACTTATCACTAAAGACAGTATGCCATTAGAGTATAATATGTAATCTACTCAATTCTCAATAATTTTGCTCACTCCGGATCACAGGAGCCTTTGTTGCTGTCTGTCGGGAATCCAGACTACAAGTTAAGCTAGCTTATCAAATTCTCGGTCGAGGGGATGAATGTTCCAATTAACTGAAGGGAGCTTCACATTGGCTGCTGCGATGAAGCCAGCAACAGGGATAATAGGCAGTGTACGGAAGTCTAGGTTATCCTTAATTCAGACTCGGATTATCTCCAGCCCCCTAGATATCAGCTGTATAATGGTTTGATACCCATACTTAATTTGTGACTCGTCATCGGGTTATCCCATCGTGCAGCCAAGCCCTTGTTCTTAGCGACCAGCATCACTCATGGCATGGGCTGTGTTTTGAAGCGGCCCTCTAGTGGTAGCAAAGAAAAACGTCGAGCGCGAGACAGGTAGATGGAACAAGAACCTGTCAACCCTCGTACGTCGTAGTGTCAGGCTAGAGGGCCAGTGATGTCACGTCAATCTTTAGTCGCTAACAATCCTTCATCATCTCGCTCAGGTGCAGCCGAGAGAATGACTCTTGGCTGAATTTGATACGCTTAGATACTTCGCTTTGTGAAGCTCTGACCCTCCCTAATAGCTGGACCTGTTGCTGAATTGTCAGTCTGTGCTTGCATTCAGTGTGGACCACATGCCTCCTTGTTTTGCATGGGCAAAATCCTTAGCAAAGCTTCGTGGCCCTTTGTCGGATAAAAAAGCCATAATCCAGGTTGAGGCAAGGGATTTTCAGACGTGTGAATTCCTTGCACACCGCGATCCAGAGAGGTAGAGACGACAGAGAAGTATTGGCCTTATCCGTAGTTGTTTAAAGTGCTAGGTAAATGACGCCCGTCACAATCCTAGTGGAGCCTTAGTGTCAGTAGGGCCGGGCCGGATCAGGATAACTACCGTGAGAGCTCAAAATATGCCTCGTCACACCCACAAGGACTGAGCCATACTGAAACTTATCCACGTACAGAACTATGACGACTAGAGCAGCCCGGAAGATTGAAAGAAAACTCTTTTGCGAATCTTCGACGTGAACTAGAGTTGGAGTAAACTGCTTCCTTCTAACAGTCTAGCTGCCCACCAGGCGCCCGAGCCCTGATATTCTCTCATTAACTGCTTTTTTTAATTTGTACATGAACCGCTTGCAGTCCCAACGAGTAGTCAACTTTACACCTCCTCTTTGCCATTGCCACCCCCGTAATGTTCCCACTTGCCGCCGGCTATAATCTACTCGTCCAGACCTATTCCCTGAACAGTTGCCAGAATCTGGATCCGAGCCAACTTTTCTGCGCCGGCCCCCTCGGAATTATCGTGGTTGGCGCTGCTGTTACCGCTACTTCTGAGCATAAATTTAGCAGCTAGACTGCGATTCATCAATAAGACTTGGTCCTCGTGGTTCAATGAGCTTTCGGTGACTTTAAAAGCCCATTCGGCGTAGATACCATCATTTTACCCGCGACTATTCTAGCCTTGTGGAGTCACGTGGCCCATGAGAGGAAACATGGTATTGAAGTTTGGTATAGACCTCTGCGCACAGCATTTGTTCGCCAACTTGGATCGCGATTCGCTCAATCAATCAACCAACTTACCTCCGTCAAAGAAGTTGTGTAAAATATTCGTCAACGATTGTTCCATAAAGCTACACACCCCCTTCCAACTTCCAATCAGCTCCGCTCCATGGGAGTGAAAGACTGAGTCTAAACACTCATCAGTGATATATCCTACTAACGTCCCGCTCTTAGCCTAGGGTCTAGAGCGTCAATTTATGGTCAAGCACTAGCCAGAAGGGCTGCTCATTTCGATAAGTTTACGGCCTTTCCCTGCACCAATAGTAGCACGAAGAAGTAGATCTAGGCCACCTCACAGCTCACACTCTCTGCCAAGGCCTTTATGATATTTCCACTCGAACTCTGGTCTGTCCCGAGACGCGAATGACAGAAAAGGTTGAGAAGTGTTGAAGGAAGGCTAGGAGGGCAGAGAGCCATCCTCTCGGGTACACAGTTCTACAGGGCCCGACTAGCCAGTCTCTCGGAACGCTTCAGGAGAGTAATTCTACCTTCGGATTCAGTCCTAATATGGGTAATAGAGAAGAGACATACCCAACAGGCTTAACAATCATTTTCCCGGCTGCTGCAATTCGTCAAATAGGCTACGGTTGGTTGGTTGGTCGGAGAGGCAGATCTTGAAGAGAAAGAGACCCATCTAAGCGCATGATCAAATAACGATCTGTGCGCGGTAGCTATGTCGGGAGAAAGTAGTGGAGGGGATATAATCCCGGTCTATGTGTAGGGAGGGCCTACGCTGAATTCGAGTCAAAAACTGATTGGGTTAGATTTGCACGACTTTCTCGCCCAAGCTTAGACAACTAAAGATGGCTAGAGGCGATAAAAGCTACTTTCGATCTCACTATAATTGGCTAAATATCTTTTCGATAACTTCATTAGGAGTTGACAGCCATACCATGGGTTATATATTAATGTTAGGCTAGAATATATTTACACTCGACTACTCATTGAGTCGTTACTAGAATGCGTTGCAAAAGACCACCGGAACTAGCTTTACCAAGATGGGCGTACCATCGTCTCATTGCGGCAAGAACAGGCCGCGGGGACTACGCCGACTACCATCGACGTTTCAATCTCGACCATGAAGATCTAAAATGCGTTTGCGGCCGGGAGAAAAGGCCCTGGTATTTTTCGGAGTGCCGACCTGCTTTGCTACGTTGGAGAAGCTATGGGAAAATGGCCCTACCCGGGGCCAGGGAAATGATAGGGGAGAAGGAATGGCAGA